CGTGGTCACTTGCTTTTTCTGCAGGCTACTGAGCATGGCACCTGAGGCAAGCTGGGATGGAACCGCACGCCAGCTCCACGGCTGTTCGACGCGGCCGAGCCCTGGACTGGGTTAATGTGATTTGCATCATAGCATATGTCGTGATTGACGAAAGTAAGGGAAGGCGACTATCCCATATTGCAGCATTGCCCTTGCATGCACAGTTAAGGTGATTTCAGCTGCACCTCACATGTCAAGCTTGGATCAAGCTTTGATAGCCAGTGGCACCCGTCGCGCCTGTGCGAGGGTGCGGGCACTCAAAGTGAGGTCGCCGCCACTTGCCCTGACATCGCAGTACATGAGGTTGCTTGGCATCAGCAATATGCTTTTGCTCATGTTGTGCTGATGAGGTCCTCCTATTTCCCCAAGTTGGACATGCTGAAGAACAAGTTCCCAGACACAAGCACATTTGAGACTTGAATCCATGAAACATTCGTGTTCATGCTCTTCTGATGGGCTTTTACATAATCGAGGCTACTACCCTCCCCTCCTCGAGGAGGGCTGAAAGCAAAAAAACTTGCGAAGCAAGTGGGGGAGCCGTGACTTGGCTGCATGGCCGTTCATGTTGTGGTTCAATCAGATTATGAGGAAAGTGAATAAACTCATGTCGACCTTAAGGTCAGAGGGGTCGGATGTGCCGCCTGAGAAGAAGGCTCGGCTGGAGGCTGGATCCTATCCCAACCATTATTTTGCTGGTTTGTTTTTCTTGCTCCTTGGTTTGTCATTGGCAATATGATCTCCAGGCTGCAAGGGAGAACTACTTCAAAGTCTGCAGACAGCTCTTTGGTTCAGCCACTGGTCTTGAATCAGAAAACGAACATTTTTCTCAAGTGGTGTTCTCCCACTTCGACCAACCCGAGGACCCTCTGGAGATCGACTCGTCGGACGAGGCAGAGCACGACAAAGGGGTTGAAGCGGACCTCAAAGATGAACGGGCATTTCTCAGCCCGCATGCTCAGGTGGTCCAATTGCAATGTTGTAGAACTGCAGTCCCTGGTGTCTTGGAACAACATCTGTGCCCCTTATCATGTCTGTGCTGCAGGAGCCGGCGCAGCAAGCGAAGGCGAAGGCCCAGGCCGATGTGGCACGTG